GGAAAAAACACACACATTAAAATACTCTATAAAAACAATATTTTCTTAATTTTTTTTCTTGAAAATTTTTTTACATAAAAATTTAAAAAAAATAAAAAATAGTTTTTGAAAATATGCCATCTCAATGTAAAATTAAAAAAAAATCACAATGGTTGCTCTGAGTATTGCGCAATATTTAAGTATAGTATTATGGCGTGCACTCTACAATAATTTGAGTTATGATTTTTTTTTACATCGAAGTTGAGTAAAATGAGTACATTACACATTTAAAATTTTTTTACATTTTTTTTAGATTTTTTTTAATATGCAGTTTTGTAGCCCATTAAATTTTATTTTAATGAAAAAATTTTAAAAATTTTGTAAATTTGTAATGTAATTTTATTTAACTTCGGTGTAAAAAAAATCATAACCCAAATTATTGTAGAGTGCACCCCGTAATACTATACTTAAATATTGCGCAATACTCAGCGCTGCCATTGTGATTTTTTTCATTTATTTTTTGAGATGGCATATTTTCAAAAACTATTTTTTCTTTTTTTAAAAAATTTTTATGTGAAAAATTTTTCAAAAATAATTTCGCTACAATTATAACGTGTTGTCCCTTCTTATTGTCTACGCTCTTTGCTTTTACTGAGGCGACAGCGAAGCGAACAGTGTCCCGTGCAGTGCACAGTGAGAGTTTTGAGGTCCTCCCTGCCTAAATTAAGCAGCTGCTGTGAAGCTTCATTTAAAGGACAGATAAATCGGTTGTCTTACCTCTGCCATGGATATTCCATCCAATGCCTATTAAACAATTTGTTTGCCCAACCATTTATGATCCCCTTGATGTATAGTTTGGTGAGCCCACAAATGGGTTCCGATCCGTGACACACTGCGGTAGCTCACTGTTTCGCTAGATAGTCCGCCTCCCCAATGCAATTAGTTCCCATAATGTACACATCTTAGAAAAACTGTGTGTTTTGGCCCCCAGAGCATTTAGGACACTAAAGCAATCATGTACTAGCTTAGGGGTTATTATGTGTCTCCTCAGTACTAAAAGGGCTGCCAGATTGTTCGACATAATGCATATATCATATATATTTCGAGGATGTGCCTCTTCTGAGGCATTCTCCGCCACAGATCTGGGCAGTTAACTCTTGGTATCGAATTTTGAAATTCGGACGAAATTTTCCAGCCCCAGATTTTCCACTTTCCACCTAGAATTCATCTGTGTACAAAACCGCTCCATTAGGTTTTGTGTATGGGTTCCCTTCATTTCAGAGAGCTGGATCTGCAATAAGTACCTCAAATTTCCTAGAGTTTTGATACTATTGCATCGCGCTTTTGCAATGTGGGGTCATTGGCGAATCACATTAGGCGCTTCATCTGACCCGTCGTTTTTCCGATTTCGAAGTCGAAAATGTTTGGAATTCTCAGTGCCGCAATCGTTGCCTGCTTTTCTATTAAAAGAGGACAGGAAGTTAATCCAACCAAGCTGCTGGGTGCATCAGCCGGGATAGTCTCCATTGCTCCTGTTATGCAAACCAGTGTGGGCCATTTTATTGATTTAGGGGTTGCGGTTAGTTTTGTAGCCTTAGTCCACCACAAGAAATTTTAGGAAATTTTGCTTCAAAGCTAGCCTTACATAGCTAAGTAAGTATGGGGTATTTTTAAAACATGCTTAAGTCTAATATAAATACTAAGTACTTCATTTTGAAAATGGCTTAACTTTCCATGTTTTTTTCTTCGTAAAATACTTCCAAGACCTATACTATCTATCTCTTCTTAAAATAGACAGCAAGCAAAAAATCACAACTTCGCTAAATTTGCCTATAGTGTACATGGTGGAGAAATCTCGCTAGAGTTTTAGTGAAATAAAAATTTCCTCTCCCAATTAAGTTTACACGGCGGAGCAACTCTAGGCGATATTCGCGTACTCTACAAGCTGTGTACACGGTAGACAATTGTTACCTCTCGCTCGATGTTGAAAATATCTTCTCAGATTGGCTTGAAACATGTCGCTCGGAGGTTTTTTGGCGAATCCAATATGGTTGACGATATTTTGAAAATCGATCGGATCGGATGCGGTCGCTGCTTGCGAAGACAAACTCAATCCATCGGTTTTTAGACTTAAGGATTAACGGGAAAAGGTTCAGTCAAAATATGTCGATAAATTAAGCAACTCATGACTTTTTAGAAGGCGAAAAAGGGGATTAAATCACTTTACTCTTTTATAAGTTTTTTTTTACTCATAAACACATTTGTTCATTACATAATTATTTTTAGGCGTGTTCAGACATAGAAAAATTTGTGAGTTTTATAAATTCAAGTTATTTTTGTGCATTCTTGATGATTGCAACTCTCCATAGCTGGTCATACACATTTGTAAATATTCAATATAAATACTAAATTATCTTGACGCATTATATTTCAATTCTGAAGTATTTTCTCAATTGGACGACACTACAGGGGATGGGCTTCTGCAAGCCTTTGATTCAAGCGGAGGTGGTAGGATCGATTTTGAACGGAATTAATTCGAATACTAGTACTCCACTCTTCCAGATATTGGCACAAAAGCTTCTGCTAGTTAATCGTAGTTGGGTTTAAAAGAAATGAATAAGCAACAAAATCTGACCAGGTGTGCTTACATATGTAGCACTTCAGAAAGAAGCCTGATTTGACGATATATGTGGTAGCAGCCAATTCTGCTGCACTGAGAAGAGTTTAAATATATCTTTCTCAATGCATGATTTGGTTATATGAGCAAATCTCAAGAGTTGTTAAATTTTTTTGACAAAAACGTTCTTTGGTCGAAAATGGTGGTACACCTACCCTAGAAAATGCGTAATTTTCAGTTTTGTATAAAGAAGAAGATTCCATCTCGAAATTGTATTTAAATGAAAACTTAAAAAAATATATACTAAAAAGTCTAGACTAACCATTCATCCGTAAGTTGCGTATGTAACGTATACGCCCCGCAGCACCATACACAGTCATCAATCACGTTTGCTCGCACGGCTTAACTTAAAAGGTCATATTATTTTAAAGTAATGAAATAATGGCGTGGAGGATTTTTACACAGTATTCCTTATGCACATACTTATTTACTACTTTCTTCATGTATATAAAAAGTTTAGAATGAATTTCGAGTGTGCCAATAAAAATTGTAAACATGGAATTTTAGTTTCTCAAATCATAGTCTTCTTTTACTCAATGTAATTTGTTTCATTTGGTGGCACACCAGTTTTATTAGACTAGATTTTTTCGTTTTGGCACCGTTTAATGCTGACATTTTGAAGTATCTAAAACGTTTGTAATGAAAAAATCGTTGCATTTCAAAAATTACAGAATAGCTGCGAGAGATATTCTACATGCTGCAATTTTTTTAATTTGGTGGCACAGTCTTGAAACTTCACAGATATGTTGTATTTGATGCCAGCGTCCATTGCCTCTAATATGAGCATCCTATTTAAAAACTTCCCAAAGTTATTTAAAAAAAAAACAATTATGATTTTTTCGAGTGACAATGAAAAACTGAGTAATTTTGGTACTTTTTCTTCTAAATAAAGGTTTTAAGGCTAAAATTGCTCAAACACTTCTATTTATTTTTAATTGTGCTTGTTTCTGGAACTCCACTGATTTAAAAAAATGCAAGAAGAATACTTTAGCGTTTTTTTTTTGCTGATATAAGGGAGTGACACTAAAAAAAGCAACTTGCTCATATGTAGTTATCAAATTGTGTGCTGAGAGAAATACATATGCTTAGTTTACATAACTAAACTCTTTTCTCAGTTTGGTTAGACTTCTTAAAAAAAAAAAAACAGTGAACTGAAGTCTAAATAATATCGACTTTAATTCTTCATATAATTTGCGTACTCTTTTGAAATATTATTCTCTCAGTGTATTTGGCTACTGATATTGCCACTTACAAATGGCTGTCTTTTTCAAACACACACACATCCGCGCACATACTAATTTACGTATTATACCACACAGATAACGGCAGTATTTTCCAATGGGTACAAAAAATTAAACATAAAAATTGCGTTACTTTGGAGAGAAATTAAAATGTAAAATAAAACTTATCGAAAATGCTATGGAAAAGTGAATCAAAAATTAAGTAAATAGTATGTGCAAAGAAAATATAAATTCTACAACTGTAAAAAATACAAATTAAGCTAAACTAGTAAACCAAAAAAAATCTTAACAAAATATCGAAATATTTATGCGAACAGTGCACTTCGTCAACGTTGTTTTTTGTTTTACATACATAAATAGTCGTTTAGATATTGTATGCAAATCTAATAAAATAGATATAGTTGCGTTATTATTGGTGTCTATTACGTGTTAAATGTTGTAGTTAACTAATTATCAAATACATATGCCGAAATATTAAACTACCAATAACATAAATATATTTACAAATAATTATGTACATTACGAATAAGATGAATTGCCGATGTCGATGACCACAAAATAATAAAATTCTTCAAAAATTTGCAAGAAGTAAAAGAATAAGGAACGTGCATAAAAAAAAACCATTTAGAAAACAATGTTGCTAAAACCTTATCATATGGGCAGTGGAAAAGTAATAGTGATAAGAAAATCCAATTTGACAGTTGTTAATGAAATTTACAAAAACAGTTACATTAAATTTTAAATTTGTGCGTTGAATCAAAATGGAGGACGGTACGAGTCTAAATGCGCAAAAGCAAGTTTAGCTAAAATTTTAACAGATCTTCAAAAAAAAAAAAGTTAGTAAAATTGTGATTTAGCTTCAAGGAGTCTCATATTGTTTTTGATCGATTCTAATTTGCGCAATTTTTGAGCTAGCGAATTCACGAAGTCGAAATTCCGACGCCAATGGCTTACGACGCGCCTGCGTGCTCACCTAACCATATCACATAACAGCGGCGGGTATTGCCGAATGTCGGATAAATGTCGGCGACGTCGAACACCAGCTTGGCTCGCACACAGTTTTAGGTTAACACTAGTGACATTAAGTAGTTAATGTGCATAAAATGGCTAGAGTAATAATAAGCAAATAAAATACATACTTGTGTACATATAAGTTCAAAACAAAAGTAAATAAAAACGAGAATCAACACAAAAAGCCTTGCATGGTGCTACCAGTAAAAGCGCTTTGATGAGCTTTTAGTCTAATTGATCAAAAAATTGTACGTGTTACTTATCGACTTCATATATGTAAATGTAGTTAAGAAATAAATCAACAATTACAAATCGGTAAACAAAAAAAAAAAAATAAAAAAATTCTTAAATTATGTGTAAAAAGTCGTTTACTCACAAATTAGAGCAATTTATTGCTGAAAGCATTTATCTGTGAAACAAAAAAGCATATTGGAATGTTTTTTGTTGCTTCAATGCTCCTTGAGGTAACAGCAACAAAATCAAGTGTTAACAAAATTAAGCAAAAAACTCTTCAAAAACTAGACATTCACCGAAAACTAAGCCAAGCTCACCCGCCCTACCGGCAACGACGCAGCTTCGACGCACAGCATTCACTCCGAACCCAAATCCACATTGCCTACGTTTGCGCCACTGTGACAGCAAAAACAGCAACGCAAACTATTAAATTAACACTTAAATACCGCGCGTCATTGCCGTTATTCCACACCACTTCCCAATCGCTCTTGAACCCATCATTAGGTGCATCTACAGAGTGTGTGATTATCCCGCTAACATCTGTTGTACCCACCTCCGGTTTATTCAAAGCTAACTCACATACACGAAAATCACTTCGGACGCGGTCTTTTTCGTCCAGCGCGTCCGTTTGTGCACATTCCATACAAGTGTTGCCCATCACTTTGAAGCCAGTTACGAATAATACGAACGTTCGTAGGTTTCTTCCTACTCGAACGTCTATACTCGCTTTTTATCGGCGCTGGACGTCGCTCAATCGCTTAATTCGCTCTCGACTTCCCGCCGCCTGTGCGCCGCCTGTGCTTAGTAGCCACTCATTCTGGCCGCCTCACATAACAGCGAAAGCGATAACAACAACTCTGTTAGTGGCAGTGGCAGTGATAAGAAGTCCTTCTCGTTGCATTGCTGTTGCGTGATAGTCGACATAACGCCAGTTTCACAGGCCGGACGTTTGACATCGGCAACAACGGCCTCGGGAAGGGATGTAACCGCTGGCGGTGGGGGCAGCGGTGGCGGTGGCGGTGGAGTTCTCGGCGACGGTGTCTCGCAGTTAGCGAGCAGCCTTTTTCGTTTCGGCAGCAGCAAGAAACGCGGCGTTTGCATTTGCAATGCCCAGTGCCCTCTGCAGTCCATGGAGCAAGCACAGCTGGGTCAACTTGACCCGTCATTGAAAACACAACACGGCTCCCTGGATCGACTGCTGCAGCAGCAGCAGCAGCAGCAACAACAGTTGCAGCAAGCGCCCCAACGTCCCACTGCTTCAGCCGTGCATTCCATTGGGGGCGTAATCGACGGTGGCGGTTCAGGCGCCCTCCTCGGCTCAGCCGATTCTGATGGTGATGGAGATGATGAGAAGGAGCCCGAGCTACCACCACGTCCACCTTCGCGCGTAAAATCGAACGTGCGCCAGATTAAAGAGGAATTTGATCGTGGCGTGGAGGTTGAGAAGTTCTATCATCAAATCAATGGCGATATATTTGAGATCACCCGAAGAGTACGCGCCCGTGATGAAGATACCATCGAACAGAAAGTAATCAAACGCAAAGGTTCTGTTCGTTTGCCGCCGGAGCCACCGCCACGACAATCGTCGGCAGCGCACTCGCATATTTACCACGGGCATGGCCATGGGCATGGACAACCGCATCATGGACATCGTCATGCGGTCGATACAAGCAAGCCCCAATTACCTCCGCGTCGTCAGAAGAGTGCTGAAGAGGTGCCCGTCTCAAAGAGTGCTACGCGCGCACCGGAAGAGCTGGAATGGTTCGATCGCAAAGCTCAGCAAAGGCATTCTGCACGTTCAGCTGAAAGCGGGCCAGTTCGTGATGATACCATCGAGTGGCTGGAAAGACAAAGAGGCCCGGTGCGCACCTCCTCCGGTCCTAGTGAAATCACTGTGATGAAAGATGAGGTACCCGATTGGCTCCTAGAGCATCTGCCTCGCAAGCGTTCCATGGTTGAAAGACTACTGCCGCCAGAATCAAAGACGAGTACTGCTTCCTACGCAAAGGCACTTAAAGAGGAATTGGCAGAATTGTTGAAGAAACCCTTATCTAGGCAAAGTTCTGGTCCACCCGGCGAGTTCTCGATTCTCAAAACAGATATTGTCGATTGGCTGACAAAGTTACAATCGTCATCGAGAGGCTCCGCTCGTGAGGAAGCGCCACCACCAAAAACACGTCGATCGCACCATCGGCGTAACGGAAGTGGCGACACGCAACGATCACATTCGCAAGAGGATGCCACTGTCGCACAGCAGGCGGCGCGCAAGCGGCACTCGCTGGGACATAGTGACCGTAGCGAAGAAGAGGTGATTGATTGGATAGCTTATCCGCTGAACCGGCTGCAATCACTAGGTAAGCCTCCGCAAGTGCAGCAGGTGCAAACGATAGACAGGCGTCAGCCATTCCTCGACTTACATCTTAAACCCGCACCACCGCCCCAATCACAGCTCGCGATAGGCACGGACCGCGAACGGAGATCCCACGAACGATCGCGAGAACGCAAACTCCGGCACTCCGCTAGCGAAGTTGTGACTGCACCCACCACCTCCGCAGCAGCGCAAAGTCAGTTGGAGCGATTATACGCAAAGCCGCACAAAGAGCGTTATCAGTATGTGCCTAAGGAAGCCAAGGATATGATGTTGCCTCCCAAGGAGACTGCTATGACCACTGCCACCACCGCCGCGACCAGCGCAACTGCACGCGAATCGAAGCGTGAACGCTCGCGCCGCCACCAGACACAACGTTCGGCTACAGTTTCGGACATGTCCGGCCATCGTAACGGTGGCCTCAAGCGCAAATCGTCGTCGGCTGAACGTGCACCGCGTTCCCCATCGCCTTGCAACGATCCCGCCTGCCGCTTGCTCCCGATTTGCACTGACCCGCACTGCCGTTTCCTCGAATGCCAAACAACTGGACGCAGCGGGGGAATGGCAGTGACCACATCAGCGTCAACGATGAACCTCGCACGTCATCAGCAGGTGGCGAGGGCTCAAATGCACACAGTGCCTGCACACATAACTTCAGATGACACACCAACGCCACCACCACCGCCTCCAACATCACAACAACAGCAGCTGCAACAGTTCCAAGCAGTACCGCAGCGGCGGCTGGTCATATGTCATGAGTGTCGCTCGTGTGCACCATTGCTTACCTGCCAGAATCGTAAATGCTTCAACGCCGCCAAGTGCAACTCACTGCCCCGCAGCGCAGCGGACTTCAATCGGCTGCGCACTACCCTAGCTCAGCCACCAACTACGCTCAACGACATAGAACCGGCGCCTGAGACCCCTTCACCGCAATTGCGACACCCAGCTATGCAATATCGTAGTAACTCGCAACCGAATACGCTGCAACGTGGCGATTCTGCTGCAGCCATTTGGCAACAGGAAAGCAACGGCGCGGTGGGGAGCAGTACGATGATGGCAACAGGTATTACCCATGCCATCATCTCAAGCTCACAACCACCGCTGCCTCCCTCGTCCCTACACATCGGTTCCATGACAAACGGTCGACATTATTACAACGGTCGTAACGGCACTAGTATGCCTCATCTCAACGGTACCAACGGCAAATTGATGAAGTCCGCATCGGCGGCATCGCTCAATTCGCGAAGACGTCGTCATAAAACGGTCCATTTCGGTGAGAATTTGCTACGCGAAGTTTGTCAAAATCGTAAACTAATCAAAACTGAACAAGTTCCGTCCGGGTCGGCGCCAATGAAGGCCAACATACAAATGCTGTATAATTTTGTAGAAGGTGTGTTGAGCGCATGGGTGGACGACGACGAGGAGCAGGTGCGTTCCGGCGCCGAATCAGAGCCCGAGCAGGGCACCATGGCACTTAAACCCATTTACCGTTGCAATCGACTGCGTTATCAGTGCATAAAACGTATCGTAGAGGAAGCAGCGGAACTGCACGGCACATTGAAGCTGGGAAATTCGCGTTATCGCCATCGACATTGGCGCAGCACAGCCAAGCAATGCAACGAAATGTTTTTGCGAAAGGTAAGTTCATCAAATGGGCGAACTAAATTTTTCTTTTTCGTAAATTCTATATATGTAAGTCAAGTGGATAATAACACAGATGGCGCAGATGGCTGATAGGCGCTTCTAAAATGTAGATTCATTTAAATAATAAATGGATAGATTATTCGTTTTTTTAACCCTTAGTTATCAGAATAAACAAGCGTCCATAATTTAAATTTATTTCATCAGTAAAATAGGATACCCCTAATTCATCCCTGTGGGGAAAATCTCTAGTTTTGAACTGGTGCGCTCCTAGTACACTACTAGTTCACGATAAATCTCTTTTGCATGCAAACAACTGGCGAATTTAACACAGCGATGTCATAGGAATTGGAAATTGTCCCCCGCTGCATTACGTTTTCTATAGTTCAGAACCAGTCCTAAATTCGACATATGGGATCTAGTTCGCTTTGCACCCCATTTTCTATAGTTTCGAACCAGTTGTAAACGAAAAAAGTAACAAGATGTTTTCTTTTGGGTAAGCAATTTTTATTATTTGCAGAGAAATGTATTTTCAAGCTGAAATCAAGTTTGTTTGAATGAATGTAAATTAAATTGTGCATTTGAAAACACGTTTACATACCTTTGGCTGTAGCTGAATTTGCAGAGGTGCTGACTGTTATTGGTTATATTCCAGAAGGTCCCATAATGTTAAGATGTTAACACAAATATTAGTTTTGTATTACCAAACTATGAAAAAGCATCTGCGACGTGCAGACTGGAAGCGTATTTGAACAAAAAACCCGCCAAGCAAAAATCTATTTAAAGTAAACAAGCCCCCCGCTGCATCCCCTTTTCAGTAGTTTCGAACTAGTTCATAATTCGCCAGACGAGATCTAGTTCGTTCTGCATCCCTTTTTCTATAGTTTTAAACCAGTTCTAAATTCGTCATTTTAGATACAGATTTCTAAAATTGTTTTTTAAAAGTACCACAAATCGCTGCTTTTGAACTGGTGGCGATCTAGTTACTATCGGACTGGTTCGTTTTTGGCGATAAAGATCTAGTACAGGACTACAAATTTGGTTCACCAGTTCGGGGTTTCCCTACAGGGATCCTATTCAGAAATAATTAAAATAATAGATTGGGCAAATGCCCGACGGACGTATCGAGATATGAACTATTAAACAGTCGGTAGTAATCCTCTGTTGATTCCGTTTGTTTTGCGCTTTTCGTTAATCCTATTCACAGATTCAAAAATTTGCTTAACCTTCCTTCACACAGGTGATTTCCTTTTAATCAATTATCTAAGTTGCGTCTTTGAAGTTATTAAAAATATCTGTATGCAATTGTTTAAGTAGGCAATACTCAACTTATCAAAAAAGAGGAAAAAACATATACTTATTTCAAACCACAATAGTAATTATTTGTGCTAGCCCTTTAAAATGATACTAGGGGTGCCGGTTTCTGTCGACATTCGACCATATACAATTTCTTACCGGAAAATTTCCTATTTTGGAACTAATGCCTGACTAGAATTTTTATATTATTTTTATTTGTTTGATGGTATTTGGAAGACTTTGGTAGGACGTGGAATTGATCCGATACATTCCCGTTTGTCAATAAATTTCGATAATTTGATACATATCGATAATTAAATTAATTTCAAAAACAATGAAATCCGCCAACTCATCTCAATTCGATAACTCCACTAATTTTGATAACAGCGTGTTTCGACGGCTCGACAAATTTCGATAGCTCGAAAAAATATATATATCGATATAAATAGATAACTAGGTAAACTTTGGATATCTCTATAAATTTCGATAAGCAGTGATAACTCGGTAACTTATATATTCTTGAAATTTCCATGACTCGATATATTTTGAAAATTCCAAAAAAACTTCGATTCGATAAATCGACTAATTTCATAAAATTAATAAATATCGATCACTCAATAAGTTTAAAGAACCCGCTGCATTAGGACAACTCAATAAATTTCGTTAACTATATAAATACTGATAGTTCAATAAAAATAGAATTTTCGAGAATCCCATAAATTTGTATGGCTCGATGACTACCCGTAAATTTTGGCAACTAAATTTTTGTGTCTATAAATTTCTACAACTCAATAAATATAAATCAATTTGCTATAGTTCAATAGACATATGTAGATAACTCGATAAATTTCTATAACTATAAACTTCGCTGATTGAACAGTTTGCAACAACAACTGTACACAAATACGGAATACCATACAAATTCTCCTCATCTACGGAAAAATACCTTTCCAATGGTGTACTTGGTTTTTAAATTGGTTCGGTACATTCGCCAAACGAAGGCGGACAAAATTTATGTTAGCGTTTTAATATACATATATATGTAGTTATTTAACATTGCACTCCCAGAAAAGCTCTGAAAAAAAACACTAGATCAATGAAAAAAAAAAATGTACTTCCTTTGTTTTATTTTACTTAGCATTCAAACAAATGAATTAAAATAGATTTTATGTTTTAGTCAGCTTCGTTGAATTTTTCAACTACTTGCTTACCTACTAAAATAACTGCAGAAACACACATCCCCCGGTCACACAGACCGTTTAACCCTCTAGTAGGCCAATTTTTTTATGAGTTGAAAAATTCAGGAATGGGTGAATTTAGCACGAGAAATCCAAAACTGATGTCCATTTCGATCTGTGACAGTAACCTTTTCCTACAGGGGAAAACCCAAGACCGTCTGGAGACGGGCTCGCCGATTTACTTACACACATTTTCAGCTTTCTCTTACACAATGTCGACCTACGAACCGGCAATGCCGTCTGCAGACGGTCAAAAATGCAAAACTGGGGCTTTATATGTCGGCAAGCCGGTCTGTAGACGGTCTGTGTTCGAAAGCAATTTTCCCCATTTCGAATGTTGACATAATTATAAAGCTTATATTAAAATACGGAGCTTTTAACAACGAAATCCACCGAATTTTTGTATATCAAAAAAATTTTCAAAATAAAAAATTTCTTTAATTACGAAATTACTAAATAGCAAGAAATAATTAATTTTAACCGTGTTTTCAAAATCCGTAATTCAACTGCCGATTAAAATAAAACGGATTGACATAACGGATTAAAATTTACTTCGCCGTAAGGGTACGATTTTTGTCTAAAGATCGTGCCTTACGAATATAGAAAAAAATTTATATAGGTGCACTAAAAAGGTGTTTAGCTAACGACCGTCTGGAGGCGGTTCTGCCTACTAGAGGGTTAAAGCAGAGGTTCCCAAACTTTTTTCTCGTAGATCCCTTTCAAAAATGTACTGCTTTCGATGGACCCTCTGCTGATACATTTTAAATATCCCCAAAGCTTGTAAAAAAAATGAAATGTGAAGATTAGATTTAACTATGTAAGTAAATTTGCATCACGGGTGAACTCAAAAACTAAACTCAGAGTAGCCAAAATAAAACTAAAATATGTTATTTCTATTATTTTGTATTTCTATTTACTAAAACAATGTCATTACACACTTGCAGGTTTTAAAAAAAGAGCTCGTAAATCTATCAAAATACTCTCTTGCTCTGAAGAGTCATATATGTTAAGAGCACTTCGAGGCGTAGCGTTATTTACATTATCTTCACCATAAATTCATCAAATGTTCGGCTCTCTCATGACTTTGTACGTGGAGTATTTGTAAAATAATTTATTTGTGTTGATGGCATCTTTTTTATTTTTATCGCTCCGAGATTTAAAGTGAGGCGAAAAATATTTATCGCTCACATTTTTAAAACACAAAACTTAAAGCAGCAAAACGGCTAAGCTTTTTACACTAAACTTTTAATTCATAAACTGACAATAGAGAAAAGAACGAGTGTTGAAAAATCGACGACAAACAACTAAGCAAGCAAGAAGCACAAGAACTGTTAGAGTAAAGCAAGCTCGTTATGTTTACACCATAATTTAGTTGAGACTTGCATTGCTGAACTAGTTTGGAAGTAGTTAGAGGGCTGGCCTTAATGCCTTAAGTGCGGCTTGGTTATCACTGCAGATGCGTACACTTCTTCCCCTCCACCTATGTTCCACCACGTAGTCCATGGCTTTGAGGATTGCAATTACCCCAGCCTGGAAGACCGAAGCATATTCGCCAAGAGAAAAGTGAAGCTTATCCCCACTAACTTCGAAAAATACCCCAGATCATGACCCAGAGTCAGTTTTGGAGCCATCACTGAAGATTCAACAATAGGCATGTTTTATTCAACCATCACAAGCAAATAGCTATATCTTGGTCAAATAAAAAGAAATTAGCTTATTTCCTATGTTAGCCTAATTTTGACAGTTGTTTGACTGCAAATAGTGTCAGAGTAAGTTTTTGCCTCTTTCTGATTGGCTGAAGGAGAAAATTTCTGATGCTGAATGGCAATGCCTCTTGTTCAATATACAAGCCAAGATAGCTTTTCATAAGCCAATATAATTATGTTGGGTAAGTCCTCCATACAAAATAAGCTAATAGCTTAAATTTCTGGACAAATAAAACACGGCTATTATGTGAGTCCGGTCTCAGTGATAGAATTAAACCAGCATTCTGTCCCAGGGAACTCAACATTATGCAATCTCTTCAACAAAGGTAATGTGGGCACGCTATCCCACAGCATTGAAGGTACACAAGTGCTTAAATCTCTGCCGCCAAAAATTTCCGCCGCGCCCCACTCAGTTTTATACCAAGATCCGGTTCTTTTTAGTCTGCAGGTGGCCTTCAAGGCTTTCCCATGTATGAAAACACAAAGTAATGGTAAGTGCAGCAGTGCCTCAAGAGCACTATACTCCGCTCAAAAAAATTAAAGTTAAATAAAGAGGCTATCAAGCAACCATTTTGGTTCCTTACATCGAAACCAGATACATTTTCGTGAACCCCCACTTACAACTCATGGAACCCAATATTTTTTTCACGCCAACGTAGCCCCCCGTCGAGTCTCCCATGGACCCCTGGGGGTCCACGTGGACCGCTTTGGGAGTCACTGATTTAAAGCATACAGCGCTGAATGTCTATATACCCAG